TTTGTATATACAGAGAGATGTATAAATAAATCTATATATATATAAGACATAAATAGATATAAATACAGAAGTATAAAGCCCTGAATTTTCTCTGAAGGACATTGTCCCAGTTAAACCCTCTGTGACTGGGATAACTGGGGCAGGTTGCTCTGGGCAGGAGCTGCTGACAGGGATGGCAATTGTGGCTGCTGCAGGAATCACCTTGTTATACCCAATAGCCCCAACAAGCCCTAACCCAAGATTTACTCCTCTTTTTCCCCTCTAACAGGGTAAAGATACTCTCCACGCAGTGAGTTAGTATTGATTTTGTTCTGTCTGAGGCCTCTCAGCTCTCTGACTCCATTATTTTTGATTTTCCTCTGAAATACATATCCTTCTCTCTGACATCTGACAAACACCAGCTGGAAGTCGTTTCAGCTCCCCATAATGTGTTTGTCAAAGCCCTGAGCTAATGGGATGTGCTTCCTCCAGTCCATTCTCCTCATCTTAATGTCACTGATGTCATTCACAGCAGTTAGTGGGTTTTGCCCCCTCACCAATTTGTCATTCCTGGTGGGCTGGGGAAGGTCCACGTGAGCTCCTGGAGCTGGAGGGGATTTTGTGACATCAGAGTGGAACAGCTGATTTTAAATCTGATTTAAGTCTCTTCCACCTGCCTCTATGCCCTCTGGCTTTAAGCAGGGTCCATGTCCCTTTATTTACCCTCAGACCCAAGAACTCAAGGAATTATGATTCCCTCTCCCAGCAGAGCATTGGTATACTGTGTTTATACCAAAAAATTCTTAGGAATCCGTTTTAAAGGAGAAGACTTCAAGGCAGCAGAAATTTCAACACAAACTTTATTATAAACAAGTGATTTTTTCCCCCCCTAAATCCAAATAAAATCAGGCTTGAAGATGTATTTGTGGGATTTGCTGTAGTGTAGCTCTTGTTGCCTTAGAATCATGGAATGGTTTGGGTTGGAAGGACCTTAAAGATCATCCAGTTCCACTCCCTACCATGAGCAGGGACACCTTCCACTAGCTCAGGTTGCTCCAAGCCTTATTCAATCTCGCCTGGAACACTCCCAGGGATGGAGAAGCCACAACTGCTCTGGGCAACCTGTCCCAGTGCCTCACTACCCTCACAGCCAGGAATTCCTTCCCAATATCCCATCTATCCCTGTCCTCTGGCAGTGGGAAGCTGTTCCCCCTGTCCCTCCATGCCCTTGTCCCAAGTTCCTCTGTAGCTCTCTTGGAGCCCCTTTAGACACTGGAAGGAGCTCTAAGGTTTCCCTGGAGCTTCTCTTCTCCAATTATCCCCTGAGGACACCTGTAGCCAATTCCAGTTATTCCCTGGAATGATCTCACACACTGAACACTAATGGCTAAGACACTGTTGTTATTTGTACTCAAGGAGTTTCTCTCTGTACCAGAGTATTTCAGGCTGTTACACATTGAGTTTCCCTGATAGGTTGTCCAATAAATTCAAAGGCAGTGCTAGGACAGGACATTGATCCCAGGCTCACTCTGATGATCATCTCTTCCCTCTGCAGACCAGGACACCCTAGTGGACCAGGTGAAGCGAGTCAAAGAGATTGAGGCTATTGAGAGTGATTCCTTTGTCCCACAGACATTCAGATCTAGTAAGGAAGTCAAAAAGGTAAGTTTGCAATGTCCTTTCTTGATGCATTTGCCTTTCAGAGCCAGGAGGAAGATGCACGTTAAGGTAGTTCCCATTGATGGAAAAGCAGCAATGGTGACAACATTATACCCCACAAGGGGCTTGAGGTGGTGTTTTTTAAATATGTAGGAATGTAATGAAATCAGCTGTTTTGAAGACTTTATTTTAGGAGAAGCAGAAGAATTGAAATCCTAAAGTAATCAGACCTTACAGTTAAAGGGAGAAAGAGTTTAATTCTGCCTAGTTGAAGGCAGACTTTGAGACCCTATCTCCTCCTGGAGATGAACCAGCTTGTTTTCAGTCAGCTTTCTAGAAATCCAACAGGAGACATCCAGGTTCCAGAATTTTACCAAGTCTTATAGGAAACTCGGATACTGTTGTCTTTGTTTAGTTTTCCCACCTGGCAATGAGATGTTTGGAATTAGCACTGGTTTTCCTCAGGAATGTGCCATTTCTTGCCTTTCCAGAAGCCTCCAGGAAGCTGATGCAGCTACAGGAAGTGATCCCAACCCCAGTGTTACAGTTTTCACCTTCTTCAGGAAGTGATCCAAACCCCAGTGTTACAGTTCTTCATGCTCTCTCCTTGCCTTGCGCCATAACTTTATTGCACTTCATGTGCTTAGTCTGGACCTTCAACCACGTGCAGAGTGTTCCACAAGCACCCTGAAAAGTTTTTCTGAGAGGATCCTTTGTGCAATGGAAAGACAGGCAGTGCTTGGTTAGGATCCTGCCACATCTGGAATTCGGAGGGTAAAGTACTCTAATTTTATGTGTTTGTGTCTTTTCAGTCAGCAGAACCTCCTGAGCTGCAATATGAACCTGTGACCATTGGAGCAGGAACTGCTGAGGCATCTGCTCCTGAGAAAGAGCCTCCACCTGCCAATATTCCTACTGCCATCAAGTACCAGGATGATAACTCCTTAGCACATCCAAATGTAAGTGTGCTGAGATCTATCCCAGGTTTCTCTTTAGACCATGACAGCCCATGGAATGGGAGCAGAGTCATGTGGCCCAACAACCACTTAGCTGTGCTGCTCATCACGTCTGTGCTCTGCAGACATGGACCAGGCACTGGGGCCAAGAGGGTATCACTCCTTCCATCATCCAAGAGAATCATTATGATGTAGTTTTGATGATGTAGTGATGTAGTTTTGGAGTTACAAGTGAATTTTATGACAAATTAGCATATTGATGGAATGCAGAGGAATTCCAGATCCTCTTCCATAAAAACTCAGGACCAATTGCTTTTGGTTTCTGTAGTTGGAAACTTGATGGAAGACCCAGAACTTGTCCATCTTGCCAAATTGTAAAGCTTTAAATGCAGCACAAACTTAAGACAATTTTAAATCCTGTGGCTAAAAGCAAATTCTTTTGGGAGCACTTCAGTTGGAAATAAAAGTCCTTACATAGAGGGTTTTGGGAATGAGGAAGTTCTAAATGATTTAGTTAAAATGAACTGGTATCAGTTCTGTATAATGAGCACAGACATCAAGGCTTGAACAACCATGAACTTGCTGTTTCAGAGCTGAAATTGGAGTCTTTGCTTCCTAATGATTATGATGTCTAAGATCCCTTCCAAGCCAAACCATTCCATGATTCCATGAAAAGTCTCTACTTAAACTCATTCTTGATGTCACTTTGTTGTTTAACCCGCTGACACAGCTGCTCTTTTTCTCTTGGCGCTGAAATAGTCCTCAGATATTTGAACAAATTATAACAGACAGAGTTACTTGAGCTGTGTCTACTGTTCTCCCTCTGCCCTTGTCCCTCAGCTGTTCATTGAGAAGGCAGAAGCTGAGGAGAAGTGGTTCCAGAGGCTGATTGCTCTCCGGCAGGAGAGGCTGATGGGCAGCCCCGTGGCCTGAGCAGCTGCAGGACCATCATGGACTAGTTCTCCATGGATGCTGTGAAATCCTACAGTCAGTTGTTCTGCTTTTCTCTTTTGAGGGGATTTGACACTCAGTGTGAGCTGTGCAGAGAGTAAGTGTTGCATCTGAATAAAGAGGAATGTTCTATCCTGCTTCTCTGCTGGACTCATTGCTGGGTGAGGTGTGTCACTGTGGATGGGCAGGATGTCATTCCCTTCTGTTGTACTGAACTCCCCTGGGTGCACAACATCTGACAGCCCAAGGAGATACAACTTTATACCTCCCGATCCCAAAATTCCATATAACCAGGCAGCAGTTGGTATAGAAATGAACCAATGAGGCTGTCAGGGCTCAGATTCCCAGTGCTGAGGCAGTGGGAGGATGAGTGGCACCATCCCAGAACACTCTGTTGTAGCTGGAGGAGGATCCAGGACAGGTAAGAGCACTGTTAGCCCTTCTTCCTTCCTTCTGGAAGGGCTCTGGAAGGATTCCTGTGGAATCCTGGACAGCTGTGGCTGGGAATCTTCTAAATGGATGTGTTCATCCACCTCCTCCTGCTTCCTCACTTGGGGTAGAAAGAAATGTCTTCTTTTTCCTGTGCAGTAACACTTGATGGGGAATAATGTAAAGGTTCTCATCAAACACTTCTGTCTGGACAGAGAGACAGTTCCCAGGGCATGAAACTTGCTTTGACTAGGTGTGACTTGAAAATGATGAAAGTTTAGTCCTATGTGAGCATCCTGAATTTAGCCTGAGTGTAATTCCAAATGATGTGTCCATCATCATCCAACTAAATGCCAGAGATCTACCAAATAAAATGAGACACTCAAGTATTTCTTCTAGCAAAGCTCCTCCATCAGAAGAGTGAGCTGAGCCCCAGCTGTGGCTGTGGCTCACTGGAACTTACCTGCTGCAGCATTCCCACCTGAGTGAGGCTTTTCTTAGGGTTCTTGTTCCTTGTTCTTGGGTCTTGTACTGATGAGAAATGGAGACTGATTCTGGGACTGTGCTTTGCTTGTTTTATTCTTAATTTGACATCACCGATGTGAAAAGAAAATGTGTTGAATTTGCATTCTAACTACTTTTTGTTTTCTGTATGAAGTGTTAGTTTGACTTTATCCTGCATTAAACTGTTCCAAGACCTTGAAAAAAACTTTTCTGGATTCATTTCAGCAGTTTCAAGTGGTAAATATTTGTCACTGCTCTGTTTTCTAATCACCTCTCATGTTTCTTTCCTAGAAAATAAAGCCTCTTTGATCTCCATGTGAAGTTCAGGTGTGAATTTCTCTTTTTCACACATTATATTGGATCATTTTGGTGGTTTTCTTGGATGTAAAGTGATTCCTTTTATTTGCAGCCCTGTAGGGTGTTAAAAGATTCTGCAAACTGATCTGTAAATAAGACTCAAGGTAATAGTAGGTTTTAGCTATTATTATAACATTATATATA